GGATAGACTTGTCTCATGCGCCATTCCAGCTGTTTCCAGTTCGCGCTCACCACATTCACTGCTGCAGTTTTAAAGGAACACACTCAAGACAGTTTCAAAGTTGTCCCTCGTCTGCGCTTCGATTAGTTTTCTCCTATTTTCCACACGTTCCCGTCTTAAGCACTGCAGACTGGATTTCGTCACACACAGAGCCGTTCACGTTTGAACTCACGTGACTTGCTGCATGCTCTCTTTCACGTCCTCCACATTCATAACCCAGCAACGTTGGGTTACTTATTACTGATATCAACCCAAATTGGGTCAAATCAAGCCAGCTTCCTAACCCAACAGTCTCAACCGAGCGTTTGGATTGAAACAATTACCAGCGTGTTTTATATGTGTAGGCTATAAAAAAGTACACAGTGTATGTTTTTGCTAAATCGCTTGCAAATATAAGATTGTTGTTAGGTCATACATACCACGTAATATTAGAATAGGTACCCCTTAGTTTCAAAATACTTACAGTAGAAATTATTTGTCATTTTACAGATTATTACTCCTTTATTCCCCAAACTTTGCATATTGTTTCCTTATACCTACGGAGGTACTGAATACACTGTAATTACAAAAAAAGTTACGCTGTAAATTCTGTTTACTTACGCAGTACATTGCAGATTGTAATCTAAAGCGTTACCGAGAATTTGTATGGAAGACCAAGACGCTGCTCAAGTTGTTCAATCAGTCTAGTGTTTGTGGTTTGCTAGAAAGTGTGATCTTCCGAATATTATTTTCAGTCACAATCACTCTTAATATAGTTCTCGTCTCCATTGCGTCCTGTGAACCTAAAATAATTGAAGAAAGTAATTTGATGCTTGCTCTTTTTAGTATTACACCCAAGACATTATTCAGCACAAGATGAAATGCTTAACTGTAACAAATGTTCTGCCTTGTATTTTGTAGGTTGGTAGTGGAAATAAGTCAATCAAATCAAGACAGCTTAATGACTGTCATAACTGGTACATGGCAGTACGGTTCATAGGAACGCAGATGCTCTATGTACCATGCTGTCTGTTGGTTGCACACAAACAAAACATCTGTGTTGATGACAACAATTTTAATAATTTGCCTGAAATCAGGCAGACCTGAACAGGCACCAGCAGACACAACTACATCTGGACAGTGTTTAATGCCATCAATGCTCACTGAGGATGTAACAAGGACAGTGCTTTGAGCACCAAAACTGTGCTGAAGAACATTCTGAACACTCGCAGGAAAAGATGAAATCAGTGTCACTGCAACTTTTTCCATCTGCAAAGAAGGTTTGAATAAAGACAATGAATCCATGTGGGATGCCATCATTCTTTGATGTCGGACTGCCAGAGACATATTTAAAAATTTTTGTCCCACAAGTGATTTGTTTAAAGAACTTGTGCTTGTCTTCGAAACGCATTGTCCAGACATCTCTTAGGGGCCTATACACCCGTATTAGCTGTGTAATGGTGTTTGGGACGCAATGCAAAATGAGGAAATGCTGTTAAAATCAGAACTCTATGCTCTGACATTTTATCCCCAAGGAAATCAACAGTTTCCTCAGTGAATCTAAAAGACGTCACCAGTTACAGAATGTCTTTCAAAAGCGTTAAAATATCCCATGACGGATCATTCTCTGGCATATCAAAACCAATCATGAGTGGAAGAAGTCTTAGAAGTGCCCAATTTTCATGGCCATTGCCACCAATTGTGCCTCTAGAGGCAAATGCAGCTGGAATAATTTGAGGCCGATCAGTTTTGTCCATGAACTTGTATAGAAACTGCTTGATTGTTCTGTTTAAGTACTCAAGAGTAATGTACTTTTCTACTTGCCTGTCGTGATTTTGCTTGGTCCTGGATTCAAATGCTCCTGTCTGTACATCTTATCTGTTGGATTTCGCTCTTCTTCTCCATACAGAAGTGACAGGGGTTTTCCACAGTGAAACTCTTTTGGAATCCTGCCAAGGAATGGGCACGAAGGTTATCAGCAGACACACAGAGAACAGTTCCCCTTACACATTCTCCTAATCGCTCCACAAAGATGCCATTTTTCTCTAAAATTTTCAGGTCTTGAACAAGAGGGTGTGAGACTTTTTCATATCCATATAAGACTGCCAGCTGAATCGCCTGAAGAGAAGACCGATACTTGGAGGGCAGATTGGCAAGGACCCAGTAAACACTGAACATCTTGTGTTTCTTTTTCAAAGTGCCAAGAGGATTGGCAATCTCAAATTCATCTGTGTAGAGGGTAAGTAAAATCCTGAAGTTCTCTGCCATCAGAAAAGGATTCTCGGAGTAGTTAGTGCCATCTCTGTAAGAGCTAATTCCACATGCACTGTCAACAGGGGCAAGAACTTTATTAAGGACATCTGATCTGTTCAAAAGCAGCTGTAACATTTTCAAAATTGGCACATATGCAAATGACTGTGATTCTTTGTCTAGTTTATATTCTGTTGGCATAACTATTGGAAATTCTTTCTGAAAGTATGATGCTCTTTTACTGATTGTAGGGAGAGGCTCACCAGAATCAGTCATTTTTAATATCAGATTATTCTCTGTGACAACTTTCACAATGTCTTTCAAAATAGATTTTAAATCCAAATCAAATCGCTTATAGTGAGACTGTTGAATGCCATTACTCAAAAGTGGCTTTGACAGAAGAAAAATCAGATTAATTTGTTGTATTACTTCCTGTAATCAGAGATATGCAGAATGGTTTGCATCTTAAAGAACAGCAAGCCTAAATTATGTTGAAGTTGTATCATCTGACCATCCTGTTTGACACTGTAAAGCTGCTTTGACACAACCAGTAATGCATAAAGCACTATACAAATAAAGGTGACTTGACTATTTACCTTACCGATGTACAGTGCATGATATAAACAAGTGTTGTGTGAAGCATGGCGGTGCTATACTGTGTGTGTGTGATATATATATATATATATATATAT